CCCAATGGGGAACTCTGGGCAGCTCACAAGGTACAGCTTCAACAATTATAATTACAATTACAACCTATTCTAATTACAATTGCAGTGCAGCCGTATTCTGTTGTGGCCAGCAGCGGTCGCAAGGGAGTCAGCTCATCCGGGCTTTCTTCCACCAATGATCTTTTCTGTCCTTCGCATCAGTCGCGTCTAGCGACTGGCTTTTTTTTTTTCTGCCGATCAGGTCCAGCACCGGTTCCAGCTTCCCCGTGCAAAGCGCCGCTGGTTCTCCCACCAAAATGGGAGTACCTATTTATCTACTCGCAGATAGTATGCTTTCGAACTGCTAGGTGGGCAGAAGCTAGGGACAGGCACTTACCCCGTCATGCGGAGCAGGCTCAAATCGCAGAAGTGCCGACCATTTCTGGCCAGCAAACTTCAGCATCATTAAGCCCCTTCGCTACCACGTCCCCAACTGATACCCAATTGACTTATTACAAAGTATAAAAAAAAACTTGAATTCATTTTGAAAATGTTAGTATAGAAGCCTCATATACTTTTCATTAAAAATATGTTCACAGTATTGATTCTGCTGAATGTCATGTATTCAGAGGCTTTGCATAATCAAATACTCTAGTCATTTTCACTTTCATTCTGAATGGACATAAAGTACAGGTGGTCCTCACTTAGCAACCACTCATTCAGAAACTATTTGAACTTACAACGATGCTAAACGAGTGGTACTTGCAACCAGTCCTCAAAGTTCTGGCTGTCGCAGCATCCCTGCAGTCACATGATCACCATTTGCGACTTTCTTTGCTGGCTTCCTATAAGCAAAATCAACGGGGAAGCTGCCAGGAGATCACAAATGGCGATCATGTGATATCCTCACTTAACAATGGCAACAGAAGTGCCAGAATTTCTGTCGCTAAGTAGCACAGTCACATGACATCACATGTTATGACTGCATTGCTTAGCGATGGAAATTGCGGTCCCAATTGCCGTTGTTAACCAAGGACTACCTGTGGTTGAAACTAGATTTCAGTCTCACTCAAGTAATCATTATTATTTTACCCCTTTCTTTCCTCTGAATTTAATAATAATTTGGACAAGCAGAAACTGCAGCAAAATGTAGAAGTATAGAGCCCTTCTGTTCATTATTCTAGTCAGCTGTGGTATCTTATTAATTAATTAATTGTATCTATACTGCCTATTCCATAAGACTACAGAGTAAATAATCATAAAACAGACCAAAACAATAGCCACTAAAGTGTTAAAAAGCCAGTTCTCTCAAAAACACATAAAATGAAAATACAGTGGAATCTCGAGTTACGAATTCAATCTGTTCCGTGACTCT